TTTTGTAGTTTTTTTTCCCTGTTAAAGCTTCAGTCTTCTGGAAGTCTTTGTTACACAAACCAAGTAGATTTTTCTCACTGCCCTTGTGTCCTGGGTAGTGTAGGCAAATCCTACTGATCTGAGAAGCCAGAACATGAAGAACAGTGAGGACGTAAATGATCTCCTGCCTCGTGAGGAGCCGGGCTCTGTGATGCTTCACGGACCCACCTGACTTTACATACCCAGAGCCAGGGACAGACTAAGAGATTTGGGGCTGCCTGGTCCTTTCCTGCACCGCTGGCCGGCCCCTGCGTCGTCCGCCCCACCCGCCCCTCCGTGATGGGAGCACCTCGGGCCCAGCCAAGCTGACCGCCAAGCATGTCCTTTCCCCATGTGGTCCTGGAGGTGCCCGCAAGAAAGCCCGACTCGAATCCCCCTCCCCTCCTCCCTAGCCCTCCTCCTCCCCTGCTTCAGAGAACATGTTGGCCATGCCGACAGGAGGCTGTCAGCTCGGTGACGAAGACACAGCGCTTCTCTCACGGGCACGTTCACACTAGAGCCCGGCACTCCTGAGGGCCATCCTGTGCGCGTCCCGTCCCGTCACCCCAGAGTCACAGTCTGGGCAGGAGACTCGGAAAGTACATTTTAGAAAAAGTGTTGACGTTTTTGCTTTTTTATTGCTAATCTCTTGGTAGATCTTGGTTAGCCTAACAACTTATTTATTACCAAGAAAATGAAATTTATTCTTTTTTCGTATAAATTATGCTGATTTTCCACTCCATGAAACCCCATATTTTTGAGACATGCAGCATTTTTTTCCATTCAGTTCCTTCTAAGAAAGCAATTTCAGGAATGCCTGGGTGGCTCAGTGGGTTAAGCATCCGACTCTTGATTTCCGCTCAGGAAACGATCTCATGGTTGTGGGATCGAGCCCCTCGTTAGGCTCTGTGCTGACAGCATGGCACCTGCTTGGGATTCTCTCTCCTCTCTCTCTGCACCTCTTCCCACTCATGCGTTCTCTGTCTCTCTAAATAAACAAACAAACAAACATTAAAAAAAAGAGAAAGCAGTTTCATTGTCTTCTTCGCCAGAGGATAGTCTGTGATTTTGACAACCGTAGAAACCATCTTTCAGGTTGCGTTGAAATGTACATTGAAAAAAATGGCAAAGTTTAAGATAAGTGCAAAAATGTAGTGGCCACAAATTAACTCTCGTTTAAGCTCCTAGTTTGTTTTTAGAATTACATCATTATGTTTTCACAAAACCTCAGGTCCTTTTGCCTGAAAATAATCCCAAAATAATATGTGTAAACATTTTAAATATGTTTTTTAAAAAAGGATATTTAATCTATAAAAGAGCTGTTAGAAATGATCATTTGATCTTGTTAAAGTAGCATATTAACAAAAGTAACTCCTCACCTCGTGAATTATTTTCACATGCTTAATTCTGGCATACATTCAGTAAAACTATTGAATATTACGTCAACAAAACTAAAATACATTAAAAAAAATTGAGAAGAGGTACATAGTAGTTTTTCTCTATTTGTGTATCGTGCAAGATTTTAAAACCTTGGAATCTCTTACCAGATTCATCCTGGGTAACACAGCAGCACAAAATATGGGAAAGACCCCAAACCCAAGTGCTGCTCAGAACATAAGTAATTCAGTTATCCTATGGCCAGCAAGCCTGTGGCAGCGGAGGGGCGTCCGGGAGGCCCCCCCCTGCTCGTTAGGTTGTAGGAGAAACCGTTGTGCCCAGGGAAGCTACGAAAGGGGCAGGGCGGACACAGACAGCTAACCTCGTGGGGTTTCTACAGACCCCCTCCTCCCTGCCAGCATCTGCCTTGTGTGGGCTGTGACCACCCACTCACCGGAACACCCGCCAGGCTCCTGTCCAGAGCTGGCCTTGCCGCTTGACCTCGTCCCTGCCCTGGTGGTTCTTCCCTCCCTCTCCTCCATCCGTGCGGTCTCTGCTGGACTGTCTGGTCCACGTGTGGGAGCACCGCGTTGTCACCTCCGTCGTAACGCACCCTCCGCCTGCCTTTCCGCTCGGCTCCCCCCTGAGTTCTTAGCTCCCCGTTTCCCCAAACCCGCAGAACAGCTGCCGCGGCGGCTGGCTCCAGTGCTCTCCCCGATCTTCTCCGGCCCACCCCCCGAACACGCTCCGGCCCAGGTCACCAGCGCCCTGCACCGTGCCAACGGAGGGTCAGCGCCCAGCGTTTCGCCCCTTTCGGTCGCTGTCTCCCCTTGGCCGCACGACGCCCACTGCTCTGCCAGAAACCCTCTCTTCCTTCCCTGGTTCCCACAGAAGATGGTCCGCCTCCCTTCTCTGCCAGGATTCTCTGTCCCCTCCCTGCAGCCCTGCTTCCCTCCTGACCCTCTGACTGTCGGGACAGACCCACCTGCTCCCTGCATCCACCCCTGCGCTCTTCTCCCAGGACCCCCTGCTGCTCCCTCGCTCCCGCAAAGGTCTGCTCGCGTGGACTTTCTGTGGCCTGCCTTGCTGTATTAACCCTTCACCCCCTTGCACCCGCTCTGTGGTCTCTCTCTCTCTCACCGTACAGCTGGCCATTTTTTCACCTGCCGTAGGATTTACTTCTTTTCTTCCTTGTTTGTTTGTAAGAACAATAATATTGTTGGAGTTTAACCCGGAACGGGTTTTGAATGAAATGCTGAAACGGTCCCCTCCTACAGAGTTCCTTGCCCTGTAATTCTTGGGAACGTTTGCTTTAATTTGATAACCACCATGAACTTTTCCCCGGAGTTGGGCAGGAACACTCAAGAATGATTCAATTGTCTATTTTAAAAGCAGAAAAACAACGAAAGAGGTTAAGAAAGAAGACAGATCATGTGGAACTTCAGAGATTCCTAAGGATGTTGGCTGTTCCAATGGCAGGACTCTGTCCCCACGATAGGAATGATAAGCTGTAAATCTTCTCCTATCCGCTTCTTTGTTCTGAACATCTGTGCACTGGATTTTTTTTTTTTTTTTTTAAGCGCAAAGGGCTGCTAATTGCGTGTCTGTGTCACGACCTGGACCACAGGGGCTTCAGTAACAGCTACCTGCAGAAATTTGATCACCCCCTGGCCGCCCTCTACTCTACGTCCACCATGGAACAGCACCACTTCTCCCAGACGGTGTCCATCCTGCAGGTGAGACCTCACACCGCCTGCCCGCCCGCGGCCTCCGCGGTCCCCTCCCGGGAGGTTCTAGTGGTTCCGAGTAAACGCGGGGTTTCGGTTGGGCCTCCTTCAACAGCTGCAGCTGTACGTCCCCGCAGAACCTCGTGTGTAAATCCTCAGTAGGTAATTGTGGGGCGCTCTGACCATGAACCCTCGGTGAAGGTTTTGAATACGTATCTGTTTTGCGGCCACGTTCGAGTTTGAAGTAGGTGCTCCTCTAAGGCAAAGTGTGTTTCGCGTGTTGTATTTCTTCATACGGATCGTCATGTTCTCAAACCCCGACATACTGGACGTACACCTGGAGGGTTGGGCAGGTCCAGGTTTAAGTGCACGGAAGTCCTTTTAGTTCTTTTGTGTGCATTCTTCTCAACTTGCCGCCTTTAAGGTGTTCTTGCTACTTGACCTAGACTCAGACAGCGTCACCGAATCCATACCCTGACGTGACCTAAAACCTCCCGTGGGGGTTGTGACAGGGAAAGGCGTATCAGGGTCATAAACAGATGGGCCTATCTCTGTTCAGGAAAGGCTTCCTTCCTTTTCTGGAAATTACCGTACTCTCTGCTGATTTGACATTTTATGCTTAGGATACTTCTCTGAGTAGTTCTCCTCAGACCCATCTAACTGCCCCCTTGAATTCCATTTTGATAGCAAACATATTCATTGAGCTCCTCCCAGCCGCCAACACCCATTTTAGGCCCAGGGGTTGTAGTAAGAACAAAGACAAGTTGTCCCCACCCCCCCCCCCCCCCCCCACTGGAGCTCTCGGTGTGGACTGAGGGAGGTCTGCATCCAGAGCTCTGCCCTCACACTGCCATTCTCCCTGCTCCCCCCGCCTTCTCTCTGGGGTCCTCGTGGTCACCGATAGGCTGTGGCTGTCACACCAGCGTCTCAGACCAGGGCGCAGGGAGACTTCTCTCTCCAGACACCTCAACTCAGCGTCCGATGTGACCAAAATGGGGGCGGCCTCCACCACCCAGCCGCCGCAGGGGGCTGACCTTGGAGTCATTGTTCCCCTCGCCCCCAACGTCCCGTCACCAGGGCCGGCCAGTTTTATGTTTTGTCAAGACCGCTCCAGACTTGACCGATTTAAGGTGATATCCAAGAGGAACAGTAAAAATTCCAGGTTCCAGTCACTAAACTATGAGACAGTAATGTATTGTTAGATTGCATGGATGTCCGTGATACCTCTGTGTATCTGTATAAAAGATTATGGAAGGTTTTGCCTGCCCCTGTCCTGATCTCCACAGATACCCAATGACTGTGGATCTGGAACTATCCTTCCCCTGTCAACATGGCCCGACAGAAGATAAATAATTTGGTATATAATGGTACAGAGGCCAGCTTAAATCTGTCCTTTTCTGCGGATGCCTTCTGAATGGATAGAAGTGATCTTTGGCTACCAAACTGAGCTGTGGGCGTAGGTGTGTATTTGCCAAGTGTCCTTACTCCCCCCTTTGCTCTGACTGCAGAAGTCATCCTGGAGATTTGGTCCTTTTCGTCACCACCATCGTCAGAGTAATCATTCAGTCACTCATCAGGCATTCAGTATAAATACTCTGATAGTTATTACTTAATACTCGGTATACATAAAGAAATCAGAAACTTCAGAATTGTGCACATATTAGCACATTGATTTTTATTACCATTTATTTCCATTTTACAGATGAGAGTAATCTACATCGAAGAGGCTAAGTAACTTGTCCGTTACCATACAGCTAGTGAGTAACGGACCAGGATTAAAAACTAGAATTGTTTTACCCCAAACCCTGAGTTCTTAATTACAGTCCTAGCACGTGGTTTGATACAGTAGGTGATCAGATACCAGAATGCGCATCAAGCTGTGGCGGTCGCGAATGCTCAACGCCACGGGCTTTGTTCATCTCACGTCCCCCGAATGATTCAGCCTGTGGCTTCCTGTGGTGAGACTCGCACGCACCCGGGCCGCGTGGCTGGGGGGTGAGCTCGCTTGGTGGGCATGGGGTATTGAAAGCTGAGCTCCCAGGCCTTCCCTGAGGAATCTCTTTGATAGAGCTAAGCAGCACAGGGCTTTGGGGAGAACGATTTATGATTAATAATAATCTGTAAAAGCCTGCCGAGGACAGATGGGTGAGTATGCCCACCTGCTCCCGTCCTACCCTACCTGCTACCCGTGTTGTAGCCAGTGATTATCCTAAAACAGGCCTCCTCCTGTCGTGACCCTACTAACTACCTTCCCATGATTATTTCAGTTCTGACATGAGGCCTCTGTTGGAACTCTGGCCCCCTGTCACCGTTTCTCTGTGGAGACGATGCGCTTGAGCAGCACGGAAATTGTGTGGTTCCCACCGAACACGTGTGGTCGCACGCTGCTCCCCGCTCACGTGTGACTCCTGGTCCCTCAGAATCCGTGTCCCCACCCACGCTCTCCCGGAGCCCTTGACTGCACCTGTCTCCCGTCGTGCTTCTCTGCCTCTCTCCCGCTACACTGTGAACTCCTCCAAGGGTGCACTTCCCTCGTTTAGGGCCACGGCTAGAGTAGGTACTAAGTATGCTGCAAGTACCCTCACACCCGGGGAGACACTGCGGGCTGAGTACGTGCCAGATGAGCGCCCACGTACGTTCATTTCGTGGTGGGAACGACACGGCCGGTAAGCAACAGCGCCCAGGTGTCGCACCCAAGTCATTTCTGCGTGTAAAATGCTGGTGGTCTTATGCCTGGTTGATGCAAAATGGGACGAACTGGCTTGAATTCGCATAAAATAAACCTCTGACACTGTAACCTGGGAGATTATGGGAAACTTACCAGTTGATACGTAAAAGCATTAATGGGGTTTCATCAAGCTCACTGATGGGAAATTAGAGCTCTTAAAAGAGTTCAAGCTGTTTATCTGCTGCATGTGGTTACTGTGTGTCCTTATTTTCTGTGCTTTGGAAGAAAAGAACATGCTGAAGAGTATAGACTGGATCTTCTTGAAGGGAAGGGGCCACTTACTGTTTGGTGTTCATTTATTGCCTTTGCTCTTGCAAAATATTGAAGGAGGAACTAAAAGGATCCTCGTTACTACTTTTCATTGTGAAGATCCTCTCCTGAGCTTTTCCACCGAATTCCCTTTAATATCAAAAAGTAGTCAAAGACATAATAAACTGAAGTCGCCAACAAATATACAGATCCTTTAAAATGGGTCTCCCTCTGCCACAGATCATGGATACTTACACTTTTGAGAATCCGATGAAATACTGTGCTTACGAAGGACATGTTCAGCATATGATATGATGTATATAATATCCATATATAATATACAATATATCATATGCTGGATGTGATATATATATATATATATCATATATGTATATATATTTGCAGTGAGTTCACAACTTTGTGGTCCCTGAGAGGATTTCTGGAACCCAGGCTAAGAGGTCCCCGTTTTGTCAACTGTGTGGTAGAATATGTTTAGACGTCATCACATAATGGTCCTTTGCTGATAGAATGAAGCATTACATGCGTGTCACGTGTGATTCCCCCTCAGACAGTGGTGCACGTGTTCCAAGGACCCACACCAGTCTGATACGTGGTAATAGCTGGGGAGCACGGGTGACAAAGTATTGAAACGGCCCAGCCGCCTCGCTGGAATTAGGGGCAGATGAGAGCAAAGCAGGCTTCCTAGCAGCAGGCAGAGCGGGGCTCTTTAGCCTCCTGCCCTGAGATTTCGGTGAGTGGACGTGGGACGGGGCTTAACAGCTCACGGAATTCGTCCACCTTCCCAGAGCCCGAGTCCCCTCCCCGTGGTGGCCGACGGGGCTGGTGGCTCTTCCTTGTGCCGAGGCCCTGTCTGCCGTCACGTGGACCCTTTGGCTCCATTGAGCGTCCACCAAGGTGGCCGCCGGTGAGATCGTGCGGCTCAAATCGCCGATGCGGCCGGTTGATGTGAAACTCTGCCGTTGCTCTGCGGTCACAGAAGAGGCTTGTGCTGTTTCAGCAGATACTTCAGCTCAGCCAGACATCAGAGTCGCGCAGTTTTATGGCTTGAGAGTGAAATCACACGTATGAAAACGCCTTCTCAATTTAAAATGTTCCGCAGACGTCACGCCTTCCTATCGTTATTGTCTGGAAGATACCCAAGTCTGGGGCACCTGGGTGCCTCAGTTGGCAGAGCATCCGACTCTTGACTTCAGCTCAGGTCATGATCCCAGGGTCGTGGGATCGAGCCCCCAAGTCAGCACAGAGCCTGCTTGAGATGCTCGCTCTCTCTCTCTCTCTCTCCCCCCTCTGTTCCTTCCCCCACTGTCTGTCTTCAAAGAAGAAAATAGCCAACTAGAACTAACTCCATTTGCTGCATTTATCATAGGATAATGTAAATATTTATAAAAGCTTAAGAGTAGGTAAGAAAGATTCTGGTGATAGAAAACAAGTGGTGCAGGGGCACGTGGGCAGCTCAGTCGGCTGATCTGACTCCTGATTTCGGTTCAGGTCACGATCTCGTGGTTCGTGAGTTGGAGCCCCATGTCAGGTTCTGCGCCAACAGCATGGAGCCTGCTTGGGATTCTCTCGCTCCCTTTCTCTCTCTGCCCCTCCCCTGCTCATGCTCTCTGTCTCTCTCTTTCTCTCTCCCTATCAAAATAAGTCAATAAACTTAAAAAAAAAAAAGAACAAGAAAACGAGTGGTGCATGTACAGCCTTGTTTCAGCATAGTGGGAAGGTGACAATGTTTTAGTGAGATGTCTGACTTTGTAAAAAAGTACACTTTCATAATTTCAAGTTTTTAACGAATCAGCCAATAAAGACAGCTTAAAACAAGTGAAAGCAATTAACCATCGATTACAGTAAGATTGTGTTGGCTAATCATGAATAATTGAACAGTAATTGATGAGCCCACAGTTGAATGCGTCTTTATTATTTCAGTCTTTCTTGTTTGAACAAATTGGCCCATTTTTATCTCAATTACCAATAAAGGCTTATAATTCTCAGAGGAAGAAGTTATTATAAAAAGTTTTTAAGAGATTTCATAAGCAAAAGAATAGCTTCTGACGAAATACAGTCCAAATGACCCACGTTTTGGTCTTGTCTAGGCTGACGGTCTACCTGTCCCACCTCCCATGAGAACAGAAGAGAGGTTGGGCCCCAGTGTCTGCACCTCAATGATGTGTGCTTTACGTGAAAGTGCTGTTGCCTGTAGAGAGAAACTTTAATATGCCTAACTTAACTATTTTGAGGTTGTGGGACATTTTGTTTTAGGATATGGAAAATGTTTACTGTTCATTAGACTTGAAGTGGACAAAGATACACGTGACTTTTTAAGCCCATTAATTTCCAGTATAATATAAAAAATGACCAAAGGCTTGCATTAGTTTAAGAAGAAATGTCCTTTACTTAAATGCATTTTCTAGTCCTTGAATTACTGACTAGAACTATCCAACACCAAGGTGTGTATTCGAATCCCTGGGATTTTGTGGTAGCGAATGATGTTACGGTCGTTAAAGGATGCATTTACGCGGTAGCTTGGGCTTTGTAGCCTAAAGAGAAACCGCAACGTTGATTTCCTTCATCATTACAAACTGTTCTTTTGTTTCCCCCAAACGTGTCATTTGTGTGCCAGATGCCACTGGCCAAACTGTGTTGTTTCACGTGACGGGACGGGGACGTGTCGTGAGATGAGAGCTTGTGCTTCCTATTGGTGGTGTTTCTTTGTGTTTTTTCCATAGCTGGAAGGGCACAATATCTTCTCCACCCTCAGCTCCAGTGAATACGAACAGGTGCTTGAGATCATCCGTAAAGCCATCATTGCCACGGACCTTGCTTTGTACTTTGGAAACAGGAAGCAGCTGGAGGAGATGTACCAGACCGGATCACTAAACCTTAATAATCAATCACATAGGTAAAAATAATTTTTCAAAGTTTAGAAGCCTAGGAAGTATTACCTGAATGAGCGTATCCTTAAAAACAGAAATGCAGTTTAGCATACGTTTGTATTTGAAAGCAGAAATGTAAAAGAAATTGTGTGTTTTCTTTTTGGGTCACGTGCACTTTATGCTGACTTTGCATATTTCCTTGTCTGACACAATTGCTGAGTCCACGGTGGGGATAATTAAAATATGAGTTGCGATTTCAACCGCTCACCCAGGAACGGGTGCTTGCCAAGAGGCCTCTCCTTGAATTTATTTCAGTCCAGGGTTTTTAGTCTTGGGCTTCACAGATTCAAACTCTGATGAAAATGGATTCATTTTTCAGAAACCAGATCATCTTGGCCAAGCCAATGTGATTGACGTATAAAACCGGGATTCCGTTTTACTGATCTACAAACGTGTATTCTAGTTACCGGCATCAGAATATGGGCATTCGGTGTGGTCAGATCACTTGGGAAGCCGAGTGGCAATCCGGAAGCGCATTTCGGACATGGAGTCACAAGAGGGGTTAGATTACTTAAAATGCTCTAATGCAGCCAGCGAAATTAGTCGGAAATTATTTTTTCTGAGAAGGTGTCTCTTGCCCGGTGGATTCAGAAATACCTGAGGTGTGTTCACTGTGAAGCTGGCCACCGGCTGTACATTAGACCTCTGTCCGCTGGCTAACCTTCCTGCTTGTCACTTGGGAGGTGTGACCGCCAGCTTTTATCGCTAAGACTTTCCCTTTGCCGTTTCCGTTTGTGACCAAGGCCATCTTAAGTGATGCCGTCTTTATCTGAGATTTGTGGACGTCCGTTTAGCGATCTCTTCTAGTCCTGCTGAACTTGGGTCTGTATTCTCTTTGTCCGGATGCTTTCGTTCTTCCTCCGTGATGCGTTAAGGACTGATCGGAACATTTCTTTCTGGAGGAGTCTGTTTGAAGGGTTTTAGAAGCCATCCACTCAGGTACCACAAACACAAAACACGAAGTCTACTAATGACTACGGATAAAAGTTGCCCTTTTCAAGAATATTATATACACAGGATATAATGCTGTCAATTCCTTTGGGTAAGCCACAGTTGTGGGTGGTTCAGTCCGCCTTCAGACAGGCAGATCCGGATTTTGTGGAGCCTGAAACTTACACAATCTGGGGAACCTTGTTTCAAGAAAACAGAGACATCTTATTTTCCCCTCAGGCAGTGTGAACACACTGTCAGGGCCCTCCCGGCATCATGGAAGGGATCAGTGTGTCATGAAGGGCCACAAAGGTTCTTCGCAGCACAAACGTCTTCCGCCTGCAGCCCAAGGGACGCCCGTGATCTACAATGATCGTGTCTCTGAACCTGCAACAGGCTTTGTGTGCAGCTCTTGTAGGAACAGGTGTTTGTTCACAGTTCTTTCTTATAGCGGTGATAAGATGGGGAAAATACTACCCTGCAGGAAGGTAGTCTTCGGCTTACCCAAACCCATTAGCGTACATCTTTTTTTTTTAGGTTATAAGTAAGAACCGTGTAATTAATACCAAGTTTCTTGTATATATTTTTAGCAAAATGGTTACAATAATATTATAAAATAGAAAATTAAAAAATCTAATTGCAAATATTATATTTTGCGCTTAGTGCATATTGTGTGTGTCTTAGTGGTGTATACTGTCTAGTTGTAGAAGATTAAATAATTTGGGGGCAGTTAATAATTTGAAAGGTAATGCATGTTTGTCTTAACAATTCAACAAGGGCAGAAGTATATATAAGAAGAATGTTCTTTGTATTTCTCTTCAAATTTTTATTTAAATTCTAGTTAACATAGTGTGATCGAGAGAGAGCATGAGTGGGGGAGGAGCAGAGAGAGGGAAACACAGAATCCAAAGCAGGCTCCGGGCTCCGAGCTGTCGGCACAGAGCCCGACGCGGAGCTCGAACTCACAAACCGCGAGATCATGACCTGAGCCGAAGTCAGATGCCCAACCGACTGAGCCACCCAGGGGACCCTGCCCATCACCCATTTAGCCCATTCTTCCACCAACCCTCAGTTTGTTCTCTATAGTTAAGAGTCTCTTATGGTTTGCTAGAAGAAGAATATTCTGTTCTTCTGCATTCCATGCCAACAGTCTATTTGGCATAATATCATCCCAGGCACTTGCGTGTGTGTGTGTGTGTGTGTGTGTGTGTGTGTGTGTGTGTGTGTGTACATATGTATATATGTATATACATATGTATATATACATATACACACAAATATATGTAACATCTTGTAGTATAGAGTATACATAAAGGCTTGTTAAACCTTTCCCTATATTGATGGTTAGACATTTCTAGTTTTGCAATACAAATAAAGCTGCAGTAAACTTGCTTACTTAGTGTTACCTAGTGGTCCTTTATTTATTTATTTAAAAAAAAATTTTTTTAACATTTATTTATTTTTGAGACAGAGAGAGACAGAGCATGAACGGGGGAGGGTCAGAGAGAGGGAGACACAGAATCCAAAACAGGCTCCAGGCTCTGAGCTGTCAGCACAGAGCCCAACGTGCGGCTCGAACCCACGGACCGCGAGATCATGACCTGAGCCAAAGTTGGCCGCTTAACCGACTGAGCCACCCAGGCGCCCCGACCTAGTGGTCCTTTAAAAATATGTGTTGTGTAGTGCATGGTGCTAGAAATTTATGAACATAATATATTTTCTAAAAGGATTATAGAAACTCACACTTGTCCTAACATATGGGTGAAAACCAGTGGTCATTAAATAATGCCATTTTCTGATAGCTCACTGCATTAAAGATCATTTCATTTTTTGTTGACTATTTATTGTTCCTACTTCTATGTATGTGTGTGCTCAGAACTTTTGTATTTTTTGTTGAATTGCTTACTTTTTTATAAATCAGTTTGCATTATATATATTATTAAGGATACTAAAAGTTTCTCTATGTCACAAACATTTTCTTTAGGTCATTTTCAAAAATTCTATTCGGAAATTCTTCTGACCATAAAGATATTTAATTTCATGAGGCCAAATCTTTCGTTTGTTTTTATCAAATCTGGTTTTCTGTCTTGCTTAAAATGGCCTCCCCTGTCCTCACAGTAATATAAATAGTACTTAAAATTCTATTCATATATTTTTATAATTTTGACTTTCATAGTTAGATCTTAGTTCTTCTGAAGTTATGTCTTTTATTTATTCCTGGTGGGTTGAATCAATACCGTTGAATTAATTCATTCTTCCACTGGTTGAAGTTCTCATATAAACTTGAATAATTGTTTGGATTCCTTAAATCATTTAAATGCTAATTATCTAATCCTCAACTGTGATCATACTGTTTTGATTACTGTAACTATGTTGAAATTTATCATACATACCCGGTAAGATAATCTTCATCTTCCATTTACCTTCCAAAAACTTTGTTGAAATTGTTGGTTAATAAATGCATTTTTAACATTTTTATTAAAAAATTTGCAGACTTGGGGCGCCTGGGTGGCGCAGTCGGTTAAGCGTCTGACTTCAGCCAGGTCACGATCTCGCGGTCCGGGAGTTCGAGCCCCGCGTCAGGCTCTGGGCTGATGGCTCAGAGCCTGGAGCCTGGAGCCTGTTTCTGATTCTGTGTCTCCCTCTCTCTCTGCCCCTCCCCTGTTCATGCTCTGTCTCTCTCTGTCCCAAAAAAATTAAATAAACGTTGAAAGAAAAAAAAAAAAGAAAAAAAAATTAAAAAATAATAAAAAATTTGCAGACTTACAAAGAAGTAGAAATTATATTCAAAGTCTGCAATTTATACCCACTTCCTGCATTCAAAAATTGTTGACATTTTACCATATATTTTTACCTTTCTTTTGCAATGTGCCACTTGAATGTAAATTATAGACATCATGACTTTTATCCCCCTCATTGCAAATACTTAGAAAGAAAAAAATATCCTGCTGTCAGTTAAAAATATCCACGTTGGCATTTTGATTGTGGCTGTGTTTATAAATGTAAGTATATTGTCTTCAAAGACATTGGCATGAGCCTTTAATACTGACCACATTTTATAGTTTGTCTACACAGGTCCTGTCGGTTTCTTGGTAAAGTTTATACAGTCGTTTTACAGATTTTTATCACCTATGAATGTTTCTTCCCCCATTTTTAACTGGAAATACAACTTCCAGTCTCCATAAAGTTATGAATGTCTGTATATTTCTCAATTTCACATCATGTGTTTATAAACTTTATTAGGTGCTTACACATTTATGTTTGTTGTGTGTTCTTGGTGATTTGCCCTCTTATCAGGGTGAAATCAGTTCTCTTTTTGTCTGTAATGCTTCTTGCTTTGAGGTCTTCTGTGTTACGAGCCACCCCAGCTTCTGTATGCTTACTGTTTTATTCTTTTCCGCCCCTCTACTGTCATCCTCCCTGTCTCGTTATTTACAGTGTGTCTTGTTCCCAGCAGTAGTTGAGGCCCGAAATTACGAACTTCACAATGGACCGTTCAGTCTGTCTGCATTTAAAGTTACTGTGTGTGTGGTTGTCTCATTACCTTGCTTGTTTTCTCTTTAACGCTTTGTTCTTTGTCCCTCCTCTCCTGCCTTGAGTTAGCTGCCTTGAGTGTAACGTTTATTTACTATTGAGGGACAAAGAGAGACAGAGCATGAGCATGGGAGGGGCAGGGAGAGGGGGAGACACAGAATCCGAAGCAGGCTTCAGTCTGAGCCGTCAGCACAGAGCCCGACGTGGGGCTCGAACCCATGAACCTCAAGATCATGACCTGAGCCGAAGTCGGACGCTTAACTGACTGAGCCACCCAGGTGCCCCTTCTAACTGGCTTTTATTGTTACACCTCTTTATGTTTTAAGTGGTTGCTCTTGAATTTACTGTCTTCATTTTTATCAGGGTCTTTGAATTTGTATCATTCCATTTCTGTATAATGTAAAAACCTTAAAAAACAACCCACTTATACCCCTTTTTGTCTTTTATGCTGTTGCTAAGTATTATACTGATACATTTGTTCTGTATCCCAGATAGGTTGCTA